GTCTCTTTGTTCGCTGCTTGCCTCGATTTCGAAGCCGGCAAAGCAGGCGGTGTGTGTGTACAAAAGGGATAAAAAAGAGGAGAACGCTAGTGCAATGATCTATCTTCTCTGTAGGACTATTCTGCATTAAACATTTTTGGTTTGCCTACAGCTTTTGACCATTTTTGGTTTGTTCAGTAATCCCAAAACACATACATCAAGAGTGATTGACAGAACACACTGTGTTTTAAACAGCATCCCAATGGTTTGTACTTGGATATAAATATCTGATGTACTAAATCTTCAGAGATGAACTCCTGATACATCAAAGTACCAGTTGATTTTCTTTCATATCTGCAATTAAATTTTCATGTAAATGCCACATTAAATGATGAAAAAAGACTATAAGAAAAGAGTTTTTACCTAATAGGATATTAAGTTAAGAAGTTAAGAAAAAATACTATGAAAAACATAATACTAAAGAATGTAATCCTTTGAAGTTCATTCATGTCTATAACAATATGTGACACTATTAAATTATTATCAGTCTGTAAGACTGAGAGACTATTAAATACATGGCAAAGAATGGAAATTTGTGGTAGCAATCTTTAAAATAATTGCACATAATAGTGTAGATTATTTAAAAATAAATTTAGCGACTCCCTCTCTGATCAGTAGCGAAAGCAAGCACTTCGAGATGGTGAATCACCCATCTTAAACTACTTGCCTTTGAAAACTACCTCACCTCTGGAAGTGTTCTCTGCTGACCAGTAGAAGAAACCCAGATAATTAGCCCAGCTGTGACTACTGATTAGGGGGCTGCAGCTAAGAGGTGAATCCCATCCCAAGTGCCTAATGCCTACTAATCCCTAAATTGGATAGCTATTTTACAAAAAAAAAAAAAAAAGCAGCTAGAAAGACCTCAAACCCACCGTGCCTGTTACCCCAAGTCATGGAGCCAGATTTTTTTTCACATACATCCCTCCAGCCATGAGCCGTCGTGCCTGAGATCATGCTTTCCTGGGACTCATCTTCTGTAGTACCTGTTCAGACCTTTCCACTGAAACTGGCAGAAATTTTGGCAAAGGAATATAAAACCAGACACCCTCTAAGATGTTATTAGAGCTAGAGTCCTCCTGTACATTTGTGTAAGACCATTAGGTGACTGCTAAATGAAGGTATTGCCTCTGGAGGCTTTCTGACAGGGTTCTTTGCAGACCAGCTGTGGCATAAGGAAAAAAGAGATATTAGCCAATCATATCACAATGAAGAGGAATAAAAATACAGTATTCCACTGTGCATTGATATACTTTATTCAGGGCAGAAATGTGCAGTTTGCATAGCTTAAAAACATGAGCCAAGAAGTTACCAATATTTGCAAAACACTCCTTTCTTAACTCTCTTCTGATACATTCATAAATTGAACCAAACTGCTGGAGATAAAGAGATATAAAGGCAGAATGTGAAAGCTCTCACTCACATGTCACCTTCCAGCTGTTAGGAAAATCTAGGCTGTCACTGTTCTTGTCTTTGTTGCCGCAGCATAGCCCCATTCCTTCCTGGGGAAATCTGTAATGGAAGCTGTTGCATTTTAGTGAGCAGACAGCAACACAGCTCAGTTGGCTGCTCTAGGGAGGACCTAGAGGCACTGACACATGGACTGAGAGATGCCCTGGACATGTCTGTGCTACAGGATTGAGCACAAAGGTTGCTCTAACCTTGCCTCTGTTCAAATTTCAGGGTAACACACGAAAAAAGCTGCCATTCTGTTTCTCTATGTTAGTGATGAGACCTCACCGACAAAGCTCAAACTACAAAGCTCTAAAACTGCGGCCAATACCAACTGCATCAGCTGGGTCTAGGTATGGAAGTAAGTTGAATTATACTTCAAGCCTTTATGTTATTCCATTTCCAGATAGTTGGAAGAGGAGTAAACCAGGCTATTTAGTAAGCTTTGTCAGCCGAAAGGTGACCTGCTCTTGAATCTGACCTTTTAGCTCAGCTTCATGGGTGGGTTTGGCTCATGCTGGGGCTGCCGAATTCAAAGAAACAGGTGGAGTTAGACTATAAGATATTTATCTGTGTTATGCTGGAATTTCTTTGCTCTTGCCCAAGGCTCTACTTTGGAGACCTTCAAAGTTAAAACTGCTATGCTGTTCTTGCCCAAAACATTTTGTTCTTATGTTTCTCTCCTGTCAACGGGAATTAGAGGAACCTGAAATGTTGTCCCTCTCTAAATACAGAGCTAAAAGTAATTCTGCGTTTTTTGATGCTCATAGCATCACTGTCTGCTAGCACTGTCTGAAAGATGGGCAAAAATGAGGAAAATCCTTAGCAGAGACCCTTTGCTGAGTCCCCTGTACAACCCATGTGAGGAGAAGGTTCTATCTGGTGGATCTAACCACAGGGGCAAAGCGTAAATGACCACAACAGGGAAACAGCATTGGTACAACCAACCAATCCATTTAAAAGGCAAACAGGAAGAAAACTAGGAAAAACACGGGATAGATGTTGTCCCTTGGGGGTTTTTTGTGTGCAGTAACAACTTATGTTTATATCAGAGGGAAATATGCTGCACAATATGGCCAACAGTCCCTGTCCCCTGGCTATTCGCATACAGAGACCTCCTAGGCCACACTGCAGCTGCCTTCTGGCCTCTGCTCTGGAGTTCACTTCCCTTGGAAATTTAATAACAATTATTTTTTAAATGGTACTGAACCATATATTTTCATTTTATTCTTGGAAGAGGTATTATATAATGTATTTTTCTATTATACATATATCTACATCAAGCCTTATTTTCTAGGTTTTTATCATTATATTAAAAAGCAGTATAAGATGAGGATATCCACATCTCAAGTTTAATCTCAAACATTTCCTCTCTAAACCAAAAATATTTTCATTCTTGTTTGTGATAAATCCCACTTGTGATCAATTATCATATTTGTATACACATTTTTATTAGCATTAAGCTAAATGCTGAAGGAATTATATTCCCAGTGTAGAATCCAAAAATAATAAATAATACATAATTAAAAAATCTGGCATACTTATAATTTAAAATAAAGGAATCACATGTCATTAAAACAGCATTTCACTTAGCTTTTATGCAATTTTAGAAATCCTCTTTTCTCACCCCCAATTTGGGCAATGATCAGGGATCATCTGGTGCTCTAGAAGAAGTAGCATCCTTTCAGATGAAAGTTGAAGCATTTTCAAGAATGTCACAGGAAATTTGAAATGATGCAGCAGCAAATGGTATTAGATTCTGATGCTATCAAAGAAAGGGTAAATGGTAATTGGGATGATTGGCATGATGCTTGAACATGGTGTGGAATCTGTAACACTTTACGTGCTTTAAGCAAACAGGGACCCTGCTGGGAAGGGTTTTGGACAACACAACACAGAATGCTCTTCATGTCTTCTGTGGTAACCAATTTCACATGCCTGACACCAATTTATTGTGATTTACCAAGAGCAGGTGACTGGAAGACTCTGAGCAGAATGTTCTGCTATTCCTTCCTTTCTCTGAAGTTCAAACAATGTACTGTACATTTAACAAAAACACCACAGTTTTCTGTCTATTGAAAAGAACACCCTCATAAGCAAATTAAGTTTCATTAACGATGCCTTTCCCCTTTAACAAATACATTTGGCCATGACTGATCTATACTGTAAATCAGGTGTGGTGCTGATGTGGGAAGACTCCCAAATCTTTGTTGGTCTGTCTTACTTAGCAGTCTCTTGGAAAGCATCATCATCAGTGGCTTTAACTCCAAAGTGCCCGAACAAAATGCTGACATAAGTTTGCTTTGCTGGTCCATGCTGTGTGAGACCACGCTCCTTGCCTAACATCAACGCTCACACACTGCTCTGAAGGACAAGAGGTCAGCAGGGATGCGGGCTCTGCAGAAGCAACTTGTTTAGAAAATCTTTTATGCTGCTGCCTTTTGAGGATCAGCGTAGAGATCCAAGAGACAGCAAGAATCTAAAGGATCTTCTTGGCTAAAATAAAGTGTGAAAGACCTGCTTTCGCAGTGTGAAAGACTCAACTCCGGCTGCAAGCAAGTGGAAGTAGGCACCGTTATTTTTTCCTAGGTAGCCACTATTGAAACCTGCCATTTCCCTTTGATTGCTGTTTTCAGCCGACACTGGAATAACAAGCTCACCCTGTAGTTTTTTCAGAGCGAATGGAAGCCACTGATACTTTCCATTTCAAGCAGGGAAGTTGTCACCCTTCTTTCTAATCTAGTTCAATCTTCTTCTTTATTCCACAAAAGTTTCCTGAAAAGTTGTTCTTAAATTTCATTAACCAACCAAACAAAAAAGTTGTTAATCTTTCAGTCTCATTCTCCCATCCAAATCAGACTGTGGACAAAGCATTTAAGGAAGGGTGTGCCAAACGCTGAGGGCTGTTGGTATTCCAAGTCAATTAGAGCAGTTAGTGCCTAATTAAGTGCTAATTTATGCTCTGTGCAATCTCATAGAGGGTAGAAATTTGACTAGTTGGAAACCAGAATTTTAGCTATTACATCTGAAAACATCTACAATTTTTATGCATACAAAACTTACTTTGTTTTATGTGAGTCGAATGCACTGTAAAACAAGGCTAAACCCTTATCCTGGTTTGGCTGGCTTCCTCTTACAGTTTCAAAAGTTTCACAAACATTCTTTTTCCTGTATCCTCAGAAGTCACAGAATATGCTAAAGACAAGCTGTCTGGCAGCCAATTTTCCATGTTTCCTTCAAAGGGCGAACTTAGCTGTCTTCTGCAATAGCGGAGCTGAGAATCTGTTGATGCTCACAGTATCTTTATTCCCTGCTTCACAGAACAAGCAGAAATTTTAGCTAGAGCTGAATAAACCAGGAACTGGCAGCAACTCTCTGAGCCAGGCTCTCAAAGGAGAGACCTTCCTAGCTTCCCTGCATGCTACAGCAAACACAAATACCTGTCTTGTCCATGCAAGAAAACAGAAGTAATGTTAAATTTTGGAGACTTGACCTCCACAGAGACCTGTCAGTCATCTCTGACGTAGCACATGGGAATGTTCAAATTGCCACACCTGATTTGCGTTCTTGTTACATACACCCAAACCCAAGTCCATCTCATCTTCACTCTTCTCTGCCTCTATGCATTTGCCAGACAGGATGTGTACAATCATTCCATTCTAGAAGATGAGAGAAGGCAGGAAATTAAAAATAAGCGTTGTCCAGTAAAAGCTAGGCCATGTTCCTGAAAGTTTTTACATACAGTAGATGACCAGTAATGGCTGGTTGTACAAAATTTTTTATGTATTGTTCCAAACATAATAACTAGATTTAGTTTTGAGCCCAGGGCATGGTGAGTATTTGTAATTCCTTTCAAAGCTGACAGGAGTCGTAGGTGCAGAACTCAATAATTCTTTTTTCCATGACTGTTTTTTCCTATGGGTACAGGTTGTCATCAGCATCTCTACAGTACTACAGGCCATGCAATTTCAAAACGACCAGTACTTCTCTCAGGAACCAAAACAAATTACAGTAGGAACTGTACCAGAGGACTGTAGCATCCCTACAACTACAGTTACTGCTATTTTCCCAGGCTGTCCTAGAGCATGACATTTTTCAGTCTCGTAGAGGAGTTCCTGCTCTCCTGGGCAAAGTTCACTGAATGATACTGAATTCCTCTAATAGGAAGTTTGTTCTTATCTTACAATGCAGGAGGAATTCTAATGTTTCCCCTGCTCCCAAAGGGCTCTCTTTTGGGAGACTTGAGGGTTCCCAGATCCTTCCTCTATCCAAAAAAAAGTGAGCAAGGATTTGCCCTGCTCTTCTTTTCATAGAAGAGCATTATGATTCTATTCCTTTAAGGCCACTCAGACAAACAGTTAAACCGAGGACATATGAATTCAGGTAGGATTCCTGTAATTTGTATTTTTAAACGAAATTTATTTCACATAGATGGTGTGAATGGCCAAGAGGCATCTTCATTTTCATGGGTGAAAATGGCACAGAAGCGAAACTTGCCCCTTCCTCATCCCTTCCCTTGTCAATCACCCAGTGATCCCACAGTCACCGCTGTCAGCTGCCTCCCCCTCCTGGCAGAGTCACCACTGACCTCCTGGACATCCCACTGCTGCTGGCTCTTGTCTGGGTCCTTTGTACAGTTTTGAGGGATAACCTTCCCGTGTCTGACATCAAAGCAAAGCAGCGGAGCAGATCCAAGCCGGATTTCCTTCATGCTGTTATACTCAAAGTTCTATAAAAAGGGAAGGTTTGTATGAATAAGGACATCTCAATTCATTTTTAAATGCTAATTCCAACAATAATTTCCTGTATGTGTTTGTTGAGATGCAACCTGAACACAAGTGAGGGAGGCCCAACAGCCTTGACCCTGCAAAGCAATCCTCCCTGCTAGCTAGTTCTGGCCTGCCTAAGGAAAGGCTTTGTGGACTGAGTATACATGCATAAAGTAAACTCATCCTATAACAAAAAAATTTTCTAGTTTAATAAATATTGAACTGAAGGATGTTTCTGACACACGTCGCAGTTAGAAATGTGCCTGCAGCTCACCCTGAGCTCAGTGTGAGCAGCAAAATTTGCTTGGGACTTGGAGTAAGTGTCTGCAGTCGGTCTGTATTGATTTGGCTTCTCTTAGTGCATGAACTTGCTAGTCTAATGCCAGCTTGGGAGTCTGCATGAATTTTCCTCCTGTCTTTGACTGCAGTTTAGGCACTAAACTGCAGTTTCAGGCATTAATGGCGAAAGCCTTTCCCATTAGTCTAGAATTGTTACATATTTTTCACCTCTAGGCTTTCTGTTGTCCAGACACTACCAAATATACTAACAAGCAAGCATTTAATGATGTCTTCTGAAGCCACACGTGGGCATCTGGCCTCAGTGACATCCAGAATGTTCCCACTTTTCACATGGCACTCAGCTGCAGAGGAGTGGGCATCATTGCCTTAGCACATGCTTGATTTTGGACACATCAGTATTTCCACTAATGTCAATGCAGCCGTTTATGTGTTGGGGTGACTGTGTTCCAGATGGTTCCCTAGAAGTGATACAGTGCCTATGTACTTTAAGTATACAGTACCTGGGTGAGGCTGTCACTGCAAGGAGAGAGTTCGATAGAGCCTTCTGCACTGGCTCTTCCAGGTCTGTAATCTGCACAGAAGCCAACACCAGTATTGTAAAGCTGTAAGTAAAGGTTTAAACTGAAATAAAGCATAATCAGATACAACCGAAATATCCTTCAGCTGACTTTGTTGTGATTGTACCCCTTTATGATAGATGGTTTTGCTCGTAATTCACGCAATATTTTTTTCTTTCAGGCTAGATCTTGGATATTGATCTTGCAAATTGATCTGTTATGAAAGGCAGCATCTCACCGAAGGTCAGTGTTATGCAGTGAGTATTGTTTATGTTGGAGACACCCATTTCTGGTTTTAACTGTTGTGGTAGTTAGAAAAAATCTGTCAAAATTTTTATGCTAATGGAAAATTGCACTTCAGCTGGACACTTCAGTCAGAAAAAAATCAAGATATTCTAGAAGAAAAAGACATGTGACAGTTCTTGTGATCCACACTCGCTTCTTACACTCTTCTCAAGCAAAATTTGATAATAAAGAACAGATAAAATAGTAAGAGGACACAGTAGAATCTGGCTACAGATATCAGGGTGTGACTCAGTTAGTGGACCTTGTCGCCTTGTTGGGGAAAAATCCTTTCCAGTAAGACTACCTGGTATAAATTAATATTTTAATGAATGATAATTATCAACTTCCGTATTTTAACAAAAACATTGAGAATATTGCCTCCTGTAGACAGTCTGCCAAGGAACTGCTATTGTTACCACCTCTGCCCTCAGGAGAAATGCAAGACCAAATGAATGCTTTTTTCTCTCATGTACATGGGTCAGCACATATGTATCTCAGTTGCTGTTGCTGTTGCCATCTTCATGAGGCAACACAACTCTTTTCCTTTACTAATGGCACCTAAATAACCTGAGGTTAGGACATTCTGACAATCTGGGTTCAGCTCCTGGCTGGCTTTCAATGTTTATGTGAGAATTTGGACCAGCTGTTGTCTGCTCATTCCTTTTCTTTCTCCTTCCATCCTTCTTGCATTTTCTCTTTGGACAAAAACGTTTCAAAGCAGGAGCAGCCTCTTACTCTATGCTCACTGAGTTCTTAGTACATAGAAGCAATCCTAGGGTCTTTGAACAATGCAAAACCACTCATCATTCTTTACATTGTGTTTCCTCTTACCTTGCCAGAGAATCTTGGTGTGTCTTTGGGGTCTTTGGGTTGGGAGAGTTCAGGGTACACATTTGATAGAAACCACTGGAAATTTCTACAGCCCAGTCTCTTCTGTAGCTGAAGGCGCTCACTGCAATCTGGCTTCTCTGCCTTTATGGAGAAAGCATAGGGGGAGCAAGGTTACCAGTCTATTTGTGTTAGAGATGCTAGAAGTGAAAATAACTGCATAGGAATTATTTCAACCACCTCTTCTATCCTGCCTGTTATAGATATTGAGATATATATGTCATGAGTACACAAAGGAGGAGGATGAGCTATAACCTTTCTCCAACTCTATTCTAAACTAGCATTTAGTCTGGCACTGTGATGGAAGCAAATGTTTCAGAAGTAGCATACAGTGTGAAAATAACTGTTTTCACAACATAAGTCAGCCTTCGTCATCTTCTTAATTAAATAAGTCAGAGACAAATTTGACGCTTGTTGAACTGAAATTGGTGGGATTGTATTAGATTGTCATTCAGTATAGAATTTGCCCCATTGATTACACTTCAGTTTTCTGGCCTTTAGCAGCCCAAATTAACCAATAATTGTCAGTCCTCCATGATCAGAGGATGTAAGTGATGACAAAATATAGCCAAAAAAAAAAAATTATCATATAATTATCTGACAGTTCCTAAGTCTAGTAAGTGAATGTATCTTGCAGCTCTAAAGATATAGAACCTTTCCTATGATTTATATGTTTTCTTGAATTATATACACACAATGTCAACTCTCACCTGATAGCAACTCTATCCTGAAAAAAGACAAGTGCCTTCAACTCTTGGTGTAGCTATGGGCATTTGCACTGCAAAGGGCTGACAGTTTGAATGTATAAAGGTATTTAGCACTGGCTAACAGTGTTCTGAAAACCTCTAAGTGTGTAAGAGTCTAATCTTTCAGATTCAAAATGACACAAAACACTTCTCTAAATCTCTCAGTGCCCAAATACTAAAAATACCTCACCACCCTTAAAAGTCTTTCTCCTGTTTCTTGCCAGCAGCAGATCTCCCACTTCATATTTCTACTTTTTAAAATGCAGTTTTGGATTCCAGAAAGGTGGTCTGGATTCCTACATCAGAAATTAAATCATAAGCAAAGAATTGCCTGTAAATATTCCTCATAACAGCTATTTTTCTGCATCCATAAAAAAAGGACTTTGCAACATGCCTGGAAATCACTGACAAATGAAGGGCCTTGGAGATCATAGAATCATAAACATTGGAAAAGACCTCTAAGATCATCTAGTCCAACCATCAACCCAATACTACCATGACCTCTAAACTATCAGAGGTATCAGTTTCAAAAGCAGGGATCAATAATGCCAGATGCACTGTTTGTCAGCTCCCATAAGCTGCACTGGCAAAGCTCAATAGTTAAAGAGTCTCTGTTAATAGTTAAAGTCTCGGTTATAGAGAACCTAATTGTTGAGAATCAGTCTTAGATTCAATAAATGTAACAATAAAGTTCAGCAATTCAGCACCACACAAACCTGCACCTAAGAGGTTTTCCTGGGAAACAGAAGTAAAATGCTTCCCCTAAAAAGAAATGTTTTTCATGACTCTGCTTTGGCTGAAGAGAGTGATGACATTAAATCTCATTTTGTCATGCTGGCTACAGTCTGCATTTGATGCTAAACAAATTATGTAAATAATGTAAAGAAAGTCATTATCCCTGTAAACCAGTCTGAAAGGAAACTGCATGCAAATTAATAAACAAACCACACAAGAAGAGGAGAAAAAGAGACAGTGGCTGAAATAGTTGAGAGCTGGGAAGAGGCTTAATCGTGTGCATTAACGCCCAAGCCATGGGCATCCTATGCAGGATGTGATTCAGACCATAAAGCAGGATAACTTATAAAACAATCCAAACGGGGGTCACTAGCTATTTTCTGCAGTGGGCAATGTGGGCAGTCAAGGCTTGAACTGACGCTCGTAGTGGTCAATAGGTGGCTCCGCACAGCCTCGCAGCACAACAAATCCCCGCAGGGCCCATCTGCAGCTGAGCGGTGATAATGTCATTGCCTGCTTGTGTCTCTTGGATAACTTACCGCTGCACTGACAGGCTGAAAATATCGGCTGTGAAAGGAAGGAATAGAAAAAAAGGCCTTTTATGTTATGGTATTCTGGGCACATGAGATCATAAAACTGATCACTTGAAGGAGCATCATGCTTAGGAGTACTGAAAGTATTCTGGCTAGAATAAACTCTCAGGCAAAAGGTCATGGTGTTTACAGCTTGTAAACTGTATCTTCAATGGCTCTAGATTTTAGTACAGAAATTTTTTTCTGAGTTGACAAGAAAAGCCTTCAGGAAATTATTAAATTATTTAAAGACCTAACTGCCCATCTTAAAAGACCTGGCCTAGCATCCTTGTTGCAATTGCATGGCTGTAACTCTTGTGAGTCAGTTGAAGAACATCTGCCCAGTGGAGTTCAAACCTACAACACAGATAAGGAGAGAGAAGCTATTTTAAAAAGTGAGAATAGAATTAAAGAAGGAACATGATAGCCTCAGACTCTAGGATTAGCATAGCAGGCAGACTGGAGCGGCAGATCCACTTGTGGAGCGTAAGGAGGTCAGACTAGGTGACAGGAGAGAAGGCGCGCCAACGCACAGCCCTTTTCCTTGCTTCACTAAAACACATCTGCTGGATCTGGCTTTTTTAGATGATGGCCAGCACTACAATGACTGAGGCATGCAGGACCGAAATGCAAGAGCAAAACCGAATGGAAAACTTCACAGAGCACCTACTCATGCTCTGTCTAACTGTTTTCGGTCAATCTTTTTCTTCCTAAAAGCATGGCATTGTTAAAAGAACAAGAAGATGAATGACACATTTTCTTTCACAACTGCTCACAAGTTTGTCTGCTGTCTTGTAGGAGAGGATATCATTACAGGAAAATATATTGGAGCCAGAGAATTTCTAGAAACTTGAGCAACATTAGCAGCTTCACATTATTAACAACATTAACCACAGCTGTATGACTCCAAATAAACAAACATCCACTTTTTTTAAATACGTGGAATATACGGTCCCTTGACTGATCCTGATCTGCAATGGGTTATACAGTGGCTTAAAAACAAGTGTGGCTGCTCTGTGGCTGTTGGATGGTGTGTAACCCACAGACAGTCCAAGTGTGGCTGCATGCCGGGGTTATGCCACACAATTGGCTGCAAGCCTGTCTTAGTGTACAGGCTGCTGGGAATCCAAATCCCCAGAGGTCGGACTGCTGCCTGATGCTTCTAGTGAAAAAGTAACTTGTAAGTAGTGGCTATCCTGAGATCTGATTTTCTCAGTTACACACAATTGCTCCTGGATATCTGTCAATTCAGGGAAAAAAATCACTTTTTTTGTCCCTAGACCACTCAGTTATGTCCTGTTCCAATAGAAGAGACACCACAGTTTGCCACATGCCCAAGATTACTGAATATCCTCATGAATGACATGAGGAAGGCCTTCAGTAACAAAGAATGAATCCTCTAGAAGGGTCCTTTGAGCACACAGTGCTACTAGCTTTCACTTCAGCTGCACTGCAACCCTCTGTGTACTACTGGTGGAAAAATAAATCACAGCTTGTTGAGCAAGCTGAATAGAGAATCATTTGGAGAAGGAGCCTTACTCTAAGAGATTTGATAACTTCAGAAAACAATTCCTAAGCACAAGTTTCCTACTTACCTTCCTGATTAGACAGCTCTTCCACTGGCAGGTTTCATAAAAAGACTATCCCCGGCACCCGCACATTGGATGTTTGCACTTAGACCCTCCCTCCCCTATTCCACACTTCACCTACCTCAACACACACTCCTTCTCTCAGAAACAAACTACTATAGATGTCTTTACCTTGCTGATTAAGAAAGCCACTGGGTCGTACTTGTAGAAATTCTCTTTAAAAGAGCCCAGCCAGGTCTCTGCTATTCGGATTTTGTTCCTCACAATGGCCTCTTCATAGGAGAAAGCACGGGGAAAATGATTTCGATAGACATGCCCAACTCGGGAGCATGGAATAATTTCCACAGAACCACCACAGAGCCAGGTCTGAAACAAAGGTGAAAGCACAAGAAGAGATTACCTTATTTAGATTACCTTTATCTAAAAAGGAGAAGCTCCTTTACTATAGACTCTACCTTGGGAAATTCTAATCTTCACATTGCTGGAAAGCAGCAAGAGCGTTGTTATATGCTTCTTCATATACTGTTCCCCACAGATACAGAGACACAGAGGAGTTACTGAGCAAGACCGACATTTGATTGGACTCAGTGAGGCTGTTTATATGCTTTTATGTTTTCCTGTGCACAACCAGTGCAGTGTAGTGAAGAGGCCTGAGGGCACACCATCTTTTGTCTGAGGTATTAAAGATTTTATACCCTTTGTGTCTGCAATTTTCATTGCTTTTTCATATCAGTTACTCTTTGTATTCAGAAAAAAAAACGCTAAAAACCTAATATAAACAATTTGGTATTAAACCTGCAGATTGGCAAAGAAATAAAGCTACTCTCTCTTTGGTGCACATTACATGCCAAAAGAGACAGGACAGCATTCAGAAGGTGCCGAAACCAGTGACTCAGTACTCAGGCAGAGAGTGATAGCCAGGGAAACTTCCTTCTCCTGACATAATGCTCCTAACTCACAGCAGCTGCATGTCCTTGTATAGTCCCGACAGATCATGGAGTGTGGGAACAGATTTCAGCAAGGAAATTGATAGTCTCATTATTCTAAGACATTCTGCACTTAACTGCTTTTGTAAATTGCTTCTGGCATTTTCATTCAGGTTCCTTAAAAGCCCAATAGTTACAACAGCTTGATGTTTTAATTTAGGGTCTTACCCTTATAGACAGCTCCAGATTTTCTGCTCCCCACATGGCCATGTCAGAATCATAAGCTCCAGTGTTTTGGAAGTAATGTCGATCCATGGCCACTACTGCACCAGCTACCACAGGACTTCTGCGTAGAAAACAGTACGGAAGTGAACAACTTCAGTTTTGGACAAAGAATTATGTGAAGGGTGAAAATCCCACCATTTCTGTAGTATTACAAAATGATTGAATACTATTCCATATAAGCTTGAATAAATTGATTATCTAACCAAAAGAGAGAACAACTGGAACCTAATTCTAGGATTTGCCTGGGGAGGAGAGCCAAGAGATGAATTATCAAATAAGGCTCAGAACAGTGGGAAATGTTACATACACATACACCCAGAACAACAGACAAAGAGACCACGATGAAGACATCTCTTTTAACTCTGTATGATCAAACCTTCACAGCTTGTCTGGTGAGGTTGTAAGCTAACTGTGTCCACATGTGGAAAGTATTTGTCATACTGGAAGTATGATTGCAATCTGGTTAGAATGATTAATAAAGGCCAAACAAACTCATCGTAAACCAAAACTCTATCCCGTCAAAGAACCTTAACTGAGCATATGCAAGTAACCACATCTCTCTTCTGAAAGCTGGAAGATGACCTAAGTTGTACAGTTTTGCTGCTGAGCTGAGCAGAGGTGTGTTAGCTGATGGACTGTTACCTGATAGGGCTGATGGGAGACTGTCGTACCTTCTCTTCACGCTCTGGCATGGGTTCCCAATGAAAATCTAGTTTCCAATCAAAAACACCTCGATGTAGGCCCACAGAGTGATAGTACTGAAAAGTCTTCCAGTCTATGACATCTATGACAGGGGAAATGACACTGTTTCTGAAAAAGACAATTATTTATTTTATTGTTTATTTTAAAAGACAAAGCACAAATTAAGTTGAGTACTCTGTTAGTAAACAGTGGTTCTCCTCTTTGACACTGTCAAGAACAAGCACTTTTCTAGATGTTGCGTGCCCTTATTTTCCCTGATGACAGAATCTCAGGTGTTCCATGCAGGAGAATACTGAGCCTGCGGTGAGGAATCTAAAGATCAATAATTTATTGATAACCTGTACCTTGCACTGTCATTTGAAGCTATTTGGGATTCTGCTATGAGTTAACCAGCAGAATTCTTACAAAGCTGTTTCACATAGAGACCCCAGCCTCTGATGCTATAGGCTCTGCATGGATGCAAAGTTTATAGCAAAAGATGATTTTGGCCTCACACACTTTACCATCCTTTGATTTTCCTGTGCATGTTTCAAACACTTCATAAGTTGGTCACCTCAGACCAATGAAGAGTGCACTTATCCATATTTTGTTCTGCCAGTTGTTCTGCAAAAACATTTATGACCGAGTTCATAAACCAGTCTCTGTATTTTATCACAAGCTCAAAATGCTCTTGCAAATGCACTGTCACAGTGTAGAATATACTTTATGAGCCATAACAGAGCCATTGCACTGTAAGCAGTGTTCCTCCAATTCATTTCTAACTTGAGTTAAATTTGGATTAGTCTGAGAAGTATTAGACACTTCCCCGTGGTGACCATGTCATAGTATTTCATAGTGGGCTTGTACATCATCTTGGAATTAACTGGAAGTTCAGAAGAAGCAGCAGCATTCCTTGTTCCCAGGTCAATGATGTATCACATTTGGAAATTTTCAGAATATAAATGCAATGGTATTAGGGACTGAAGGAAAATAAGTGTTGAATAACAATGCTGTTCACTCCTTTTCTGTTATTCAAGAAGGATAGCCTCTGGTCTCAGTGTATGGGCTTGCCTATAGGTATAAGTTCTTCTGGAGAGACATCAGTAACATTTACTAGGGATTGAAGTATGCTGGAAAAAATTACCCTTGCTCTAGAGTAAGAGTATACATACAGGAAATTACTCTGGAGTAACATTTTCCCTAGAAAATAGCTTGTCGTTCGAATTGAGAGAGAGAAATTAAATGGTCATTTTGGGTGCAAAATATAGAAGGTTTGATCTCCTCTTTTAAAGACTTAGATGTTGGTCAGAGATGGTCTTGCGAGAAATATGCTTAAAACATGGTACTATCGGTGAAGAAAGGACAGCTCAGAAGTCTCCAACATGGTGAGAGCCCTGTGTGCTTTTCCATGGCAGAGACCAGAACCAGCTGAGCAACATGGTAGTGCTGGATGATGTTAATGTAATCTTGACATATTTTCTCTGCCTTTGCAATCACTAGAGTAATGTTTTTTCAGTATCAGGGTGGGGGGAAACTCCAAACTTTGTTTTATCATAGTTGTCATTTCCTGTAGAGAACTTGAGAAGCCCATGCAGAAACTGAGACTACTGATCATCAGTGAATAGTATGAAGATGAATTATACAGACGATAGCATTAAATTGACTCAGTTATTCCTTTGTTTCCTAATAAAAGCAGACTATCCTATGATGAGCTAAAGGCAGAGGGATTTAAAATAGAGAAGTGATTATATTTCTCCATTCAAGCGTAAACCAGCCTTTGTAATATGTAATAACAGGCACTCTTAGAGTCATGCATTGGGTTTATAAATGAGGAAAATTTAAAGTCACCTGCAACTTTGTAGGCATATACATTAAGGCTGTCATTCTCCCATTTGCTGTCATTCTCCCTCAGGACTCAGGAAGAAATTGAAAGAAATTATATTAAAAATAATAAAGCTGATATCCTCCCCTGATTCTCTTGATGATATCTCTGTGATACTGTTTTACATCCAGAACAGGAGCAACCACCTCAAACTCAAGCCAGCAGGAGCCTTTCTACTGAAAACTGTATTTAACCCTTACTCACTAACAGCATGAAAAGGAAACTAACTCCTTCTAGAAGTTACTAAACGGTAGTGTTCTGATGGACTCACACAAGCAGGTGTTTTTTCTTGGATATGCTGGGAAAAATCCATCTAACAAGTTAAGTGGATTTTATATGACTAAACTTCAAAAAATGAAAAGTCCCTGTAACTGTAAGTTCTACAGCCTGCTGCATTCTCCAGTGTATGAGTATCTTTGACAACTGTCTGGTTAGGAGAGTAGTTGGAGTTGTTTAATTCTTACCTCAGTTTGCTGCTACTTGCTGAAATGCATGCTGTCTACTGCTACTTGTTTATCCAATCTCATCCAGGCAGGAGTGAGGAACTCATCACACCAGGGTAGTTCATTTCACAATTTCAGAGTCAAGAAGGAAATGCCAGGAGGTCATATTTGAGTGGAAGCCAGAAGAGGCAATGTAGACTCAACCATTCCCGTTCGGTCCCCATGTGTTGCCTGATCTAGTAGAGAGGTGGCGTCCCTGGCGGCAGGGAGGCTGGATTAAAATGATCTCTAAGGTCCCTTCCAGCTTGGGCAATTCTATGATTCTATGATTCAAAAAGCCTTGACCATGAAGACTAGACCACATGTGGACATCCAAGATAGTTCAGACAGACTGTGTGGATACTCAGTCATGCCCAGATATATTCTGGATCAGATATATTTTGGATAGGATGGTCCAGACACTTCTGACTATCCTACATTTTTGCATCATTTCAGTAATTTTCTGTCCTTCCTTTTGGATCCACCTTAAATTTTTTGCCACTGTAAAACTCCAGTGATGCTCCAATGCAATTGCTCATAAAAGTGAGCACCACAGCAGTAGTTCTCGTCAAAATAATCCTTTACTTTTAATGCACGCTTTTGCTTTGCTTGTTGTTGGGCATTGACTCTTCAATGCCAATCAAGAAAAATACCTGCCATGATGTAATGGCTTCTGATGGTTTGGAGACCAAGCAATTATCCAAACTATTTGCAAATTGTAACATGGAAAATTACAGTGTTTAAGACGGATGAAAGTAACTCACCAGAAAGGTCACATTCACCCCCGGCTAAATTCAACAATAAACCAGAACAAAATAAAGTCTAATCTCCTTTCCCACAAAATTATACAGTACAAGCTGTTAACTGTGTTTTAGAGCTATTACTCTAGTAGCTTCTTCAGAATGCCAAGATTAACAGTTTTCAAGAATTTGTAAGTGTAACACTAGACCTTCACCTAGTGTAAACTGGTGTAGCTCTGCTGAAACCAATAGAAACACACTTTATTAAAATACTGGGATTGCCTTTCTGATCTGAAATAGAGGACTCCAGTAACTTTATCTTGTGTGAAAACTGGTCAATGTCCAAATTTAATCTTAATCAAGCAGTGCTTTACCTCTCTATTAGTATTAATCCTTTTTTTTTTAGATCCGTTTTCTGCATATTCAGTGGTGGTTTGATGTCTGTGTGGTTCTAAATGCAAATCTGCAGCAGAAGGTAACTGAAAGTTGGAAGATGTTCATAGCTATTCTTTTTGTTTTCAACTGGGTAACCGGCAGCCAGCATCTTCTCGGCGCTTTGAAATGAAACACACACTGGCAAACTACTGCTAATTTTACTCCATGGAATCCAAGGAAAGGGAAAAACAGGAAATTCAAATACAACTAGCAGCAGGGCTTTGAAACATTTGACTAATTTGCAAATATTTCAAATGCTTGGAACATGCATGAACTACAAAAGGTCACAATTCCATGAAAAAACAACCCAAACAAGAACAATTTCCTGGTTTGGGATTTGTCAACCAAATACAAATGCGAATGAAATGTCTTCCCATGACCCTTTACAGTCACCATGGACATGATGTTCTTTTCTATTTCTAGAATAAGTAACATGAAGAGAGGAAGACTTAATTAACACATCTGGTTTGAAGTTTTAGATACACTGTTTTTTGAAAGTGTTCTTTATTGATTCATACTTTCTTTTGCTGGGAAGAGAACAGATTTTATTCTATTTAAATCCTCCTTTACATAAGGGGGGGGAAACAACAAAAAAACAAAAACGCCAAATTAAGCATTCTCCTCAACTAGTTTCAGTGTGGATCATTCCCTGCAAAAATTAAATAGCTAGGAAATCCAGGCAGCCCAAGTTCTCTGGCTCTGCACATCACCAAAACTTCCCCAAGTAACTGAGAACTGAAGCTGGTTCCACAGCACCCTGCATCTTCACTGAAAGCACCTTGCTGGCTGGCTGAAGTCCTGATGAAAATAGTACTGCAAAACATTTTAAATTAGGGTTAATTAAAAGGTAAAATGCAGTGATCAGGAATATCAGCTATGATATTACTTAACTTACAGGCCAGCTCCAGACTGCTTAGGGCATATGAAGAATCTCCTTGAATTGATGGACGACTCGTATGCCTAAACATATACTTCAGATCTCGGCTAGGTAGAGTGCTAAGGGAGTGCTTCATAAAAAAAAAATCTTTTGAACTTGACTTTTTTTTTTTTAAAATCATCAAATTTGTATGTGTGTTATCAATATCTGTAGGAGTAACCAATATCTTTTTACATTGTAGGGTCAGGGCACTGTGCCATGGATCATGCCTAAATCCTCATTACTCCTACTTTTGGCAGCAATATTTGTCTTTGGCTTTAGATTCTTGTCTTCAGTTTCTTTACTTCAACTTCTTTAAAATAGGTCCCCTACTCATTCTGATCTTCACATATCATACAATGTAAATGCAGAACATTAATTTACTGAATTTGAAATGAATGTTATTAAAAAATTGAGGATGTAAATCAGACAAAAAGAGAAGTCCCAGGAAGCAGGCTGTTAGATGTGAAGTATATGGAAGGTTTTCGAAACAGGGAGAGTAGCATGGAAATGCAGGCTCAGATGCTGGGGTTGTGTGGGCTCAGAATGGATAATATTGTGCTTCCCTGAGCCTGTGAGCAGGCAGAAAACAGATACCTTATGTATTTGGTAGCTTGAAAAGCTGGGTATGGGCCACTGAGAAGTGAAGAATCAGATGAAAAGAGATGAAGGAGCTATTCAACTTGAGCGAAAAATATTTCCTGTCTCTCTAGTGTATTACCATAAAACTAGAACCAAACAATTTTTCTGGACAGAACTCTCATTTCTATTCCCCTGTCTACAAACAGAGCTGAATGGGAGCAAACAGAGAATAAGAGAATTTTCCACTGCTATGTTCATTTCTTATTCTCTTTAACAGCATTTTCATTAAAGATTAGTGACCTAGAATCATGGAGTTAAGTAGAGGCTCTTGGAATTTCAGAAACTAGACAGGCATCTTTTCATAATATCACAGGCTTCCATTTCCTAACGCAGTGTTTGAGCCATGGCATAGGCAGTGCATCAGCTTGGAGGGAAACAGCCCTTGCAACGAGGGGAAAGGTCCTAAGGGCAAGCTACCCCTTTGCAAGCTACCCCTCTGCCACAGTGATGGTGCCCATGCCTTTTTTTAGAGGTGGAATTCCTCACCAAGGTATATAATCAAGGCTCGTTTTGCTTTCATGCAGTATTCTCAGGAAACACATTCAGATTTTTTTTTAAAAAATCATCCTGCTTCAGCATGATGGTCCCTGGTTTTAGGTTAAAGGAACAACCCTTTCATGGCTTCATGGCTTAGTTTGTTATATTCCCCCTCTGCCTTCACTGCATTTGGACCACATATAAACCAGCAGCCATATCCTGCAATCTCCTGGAAAAGGCAAACCCTTCAAAAGTCGACTGCAATAATGGCATGGCTGCATTGCTATGCACCACGCACCTCACCTGGAATTACCTGGGAACACGAACAGTTGTCAAATGAAATGATCCGTGAGGCATCTCATCTAGTTTTCTAATGTTGTCCAGGTGCCTACTGTATTCATCCTTGAATAATCAAAATGTCAAAGGATGCTTCACAAACCACGGAACCATTCTGTAGGTGATACAGTAAGTCAATGCACGGCTTCGCAGTCAATTGAAGTCAAGTCAAGTTCATGGGACTAGTCCCAGTCAAGGTGCCCATAAATGTGTGTGTAACAATTCTAAAAAGACTCAATAGTTCTGGGGAAAATAATTTTGACTGGGTTAGTGAATAAAACTATCACGTAGGGAGCTGAACTGTCATCACCTAGAGCAAGCCAAATATATGTCAAATATTTCCATACCTGTAAAACTGGGATAATTTTTCTCAGGTTTGTCCTGTCTGTCATTACCACAGGCTACTAAGAACAGGGGGTCTCCCCCTTTTTGTGAGTATGTTCAACTCACAATGAGGTCTCAGTTTGGGCAAGGATCTCTCGGTCACAATAATAGTGGCAGACCTGATCAGGAGTCTAGAAAATTGGCCCTAATCACAATTTTCAAAATTAAAATCTCCCTCCAGCTCTGTTACGCTCCTGCAAAGGTCTGAGCTTTGGAAAGGATGCATTTTCCCTTGCCAGCAAACAACTCATTCTAAGTGATCAAGTGTTTTCCCATCCTGTGTCTCCAGCAAATGCACCTGAGTTGCAGCTTGATTGGTACATTCAGAAGAGTAAAAGTGGATATTTCCCCAGTCACTGTAAGCTTTTTTTCACCATACTTTCCTCAATTGGGTAGTCTCAGGGAGTGCACATGATTCAATTTAACAGCTCTTCAACTGCTAAATGAAGCCAAGTTGACTATGCGAATGCTTTACATTTCCACAGTGATCTCCACGCAAGCATTACAAGCAATTTAGGAAAAACTACGAATTAACTTCCTTATCAAGTCAACATTATTATCACCATTCTACAGCCAGGCAAAGAGGGACATGAAGGCAAGTGATTGCCAGTGCCTTAGAGCATGTCCTTCCTGTGCACTGGAGGATGGCACAGGTTCTCCACATCAGCAGTGACGAAACTTCCAGGGTCAGACACAGTGAATGACACAGCACACAGAAAGGGATGGCTTAGCCTGCACTATTATCCAAACGCTCTCCCACCTTTGCTCCATTAATCCAATTAGCTAACTCAGTGTTAAATTCTGCCCTCCTGGAGAAATGAATGAGCAAATGGGCCCTACAGAAGAAGTGGATCCCTTTCTCACCCACTGTGACAGTGCTACAGAAATCTCAGAGCAATGGTTAGCTTGGTGGCTCTGATTTCCCTCTGCAGTGATAATTTTTGACGGTGAATCACTACACTTGTGGTGCGGTCCTAACTTATCTCTTGCCATTGTAATTCTCCCTTCACTATAACTCTCCTCTGAGACTGTTTATAACTCTCTTAATTTCAGCAATACAACCTTGAATAAGGACTGGCCAATTGATACAGACAGGAGTTTTACATGACATCAACAATAGACTATAGCTCAAGGCAGAAGAATCACAAAGTATATTCATAATAAACCATCTAATAAGTCAGCAGACAAAAAATAATCTGCTTTTCCAAGAAGGACCTTTTATAAAAGAATATTTCTAACATCCTAGGGCAGCACTACTCTTGCTTTCAGTATTCTAAATGTTTTCATCTGACTGATGTAATAATTTCTAAATACTCACATTAATTCTCTTATAAGCAAACATAATTAGCCATAAAAGCAGCTTGTTTCAGTGCCTGGGAACAGCCTTTGAAGGTCTTTAGTATGACTACTTAATGGTCTGGTAAGAGTTTTAAAGATGTTTTTCTTCTTTTACCCCCTCTAGCAATTATTCATTTTTTCCCAAGTGGCTTATGGGTAATGATAGACAAGTTAATGTACAAATTTTTCTTTCAGAAAAGTTGCTTTAATAAAGGATTTACTGTCATGTAATTGTTGAAACATTTGCAGTGATTTAGTGTCTTTGAAGGACTTAGGGACTGCCTAAGCTCAGCTGTACAGTAGAGAGCAAGACCAAGCACCCACCTAAACATGTAAGAGTCAGAAAACAAGAATCTGTTATCTTCTTCTGTCAGTCTGTTAAAATATCTGTGATTAGCTATAAGTGTTTAGGCTGCCCAGAAAGTTTATTTTTTCTGTGAAGCAGAGATGGCAAATGTGACATTGGTATGTAGCCAAACTGGCTCAGGAGGACAAAGCTTGTCTTTGTCACTGAAACAGCTAAAAAGTAACAATAATGGAGTCCTGCAGTAGTTTCTCTGGTGGATGTTTGACAACTTGTAAACAGCTTGAGACTGCAACCGTTTAAATTCAGACTAACAGGAAGCCTTCTTACAGGTCTAACTGGATAAAAACTCTGACAGTTCAGCGATACTGGGTATGAAATGAAGGTTATCAGCTGCTTCACACATATTAGTGGTGCATGTGGTGGTGACGTAGAAAATAAAAGCAATCTGACCAAAAGAAAGAAGGTAGCCAAGAGAGGATAAAAAAATACCCAAATCTTTCCAAGTACATCTCTTTCAGCAGAAATTAGCATATGAAGGGAGCTCAGAGGTCACAGGAATATTTACCGGTTGCTGGACAGCCTGGCTAGGAGGGGTTCCAGCCAGCCCTTCTGACACTCGCAGTGTGAATCCATGAAGACAAGCACGTCCCCGGTTGCCCGTGCAGCTCCAAGCATCCGACCTCGGATGACTCCAAGCCTCTTGTTGCTCCGGATGAGTTTCACGCCATCCAGCTTAGAGATGTATTCACTTAGAGCTGATTTCAGGGGCCCTGTCAGAAACAGAACAGTCACTGAAATGTTTTGTCTTTGATCCAAGCTGTTACTGAAAAGCAACAGGTAGTAGGAGATGCTACTTCTTGCTGGTAAAATGTTTTGGGGGCCTTCGTTTCACATGGTCAAGTAGGGTGTGCTCCAAATACTCCCAGAGCAGCACAATGTCAAAGAGAAGTAGAGACTAATGGAAACTGAGATTCATTTCCTGCAAAAAAACTAATGGCCTCCTCTCCTGTTTTCAGCAAAAGATGGATTCTCTCATCATCTCACAAAAGGCACATACCAGAGTGAGATACTACAGGTGTTTGGCTTTCCATTGCACTTTGGATTACTTTAGCAATGTGGAGTTTTCTACTCTAGGCTCCAGCCAAAGTCCAAGTCCGGAAATTATTACAGCAGATCTCGTCCAGTAGGAAGGCTAAGATTTGCATACTGTGATCTTATTTTCAGAGTGATTGGAAATGATGGGGGCAAAAGAAACATATTTCAAAGTTGAAAGGCTAAACTGAGATGAAGAGTGAAAACTGGCAGCCACCTCAGGGCTCTGCTTAGCTCTCTTAGCTCCCTTCCAAAGAGGGTCCTCTTTACCTTATACTCTCCTCACATACTTCTTGGAAGAGGACAGTTTCTCCTCAGAAGCTTTAGAAAAAACAATTCACATGCAGAGAGATGGGGGCTACCTTGCTGGCTGAGGTCATCAACAAGGATGATATCCTTGAGGGAGGCCTTTGGGGCTGTGTCCATAATGCTGTGCACGGTCCTCAGCAGGGTAGACCAAGCTTCATCATGGAAACAGATGATGACACTAGCAGTAGGCAGACTGGAGTCATATTCTTGCTGGAGGCACCTGCACAGAATCAAATTGGGGAGACACTGGAAATGCTGGTACAACTGACTACTTTCTTTTCAGAGCAAAGTTGTAAGCTACACCTAAACCTTCAGGGGTGGAAAGCAGTTTAAAGTCTCAGCTCACTTCTAATCAAGAAAAGGAACTATGAAGGTGTCCAAGACTGGCATACAAAGTGAAAATACGAGAATGACACTATAAAAATCAAAATACCAAAAGAAGAAAGTTCTGCTATGTCCTGGGATACTTTTTTTTTCTGCTCTGTCAGCCTCAAAACACAGAGATCAAATCAAAATGGTCCAGAAGGCAACAAGAAACTGAAAAGACAATTAGACAAAGCAGAGATAACTGAAGCAGGTCAGTCAGCTTCCATCAATTTCCACATTTTCTCAAGAACAGAGAAAAGAGCAAACTGAAATGCAGTACCTTTAAGACTAACAAGTAAAATAACTCGTCTGCACAACAGATCAGTATACCTGCCTGACCAGGATCCTAGTGAATGAAGCCAACATCTCAGTCCTGTACAGGAGAGAAATGGATCCTTTCATGGGCAACAAAATCAAATATAGATACATTTAAGAAAGTAAATTTGTTTTCCATATGAGGTTGGAACAGGTTGCTGTTTCCAATGGACATGAATCACTGAAGAATGAGACTCCCAGCAGAGTAGATTTTCTCCATGCCGTTTTCTGCTATTTACTTTACAATCCCAGGTACTGACACAGTCCACCGCAAGACACCTGGCCAGATGTGGGTCACTGTGGGGTTCCCAGAAATGCTCCAGAGTGCCAGCTGGGGCCCATGGCTCCTCAGTTTTCTATGGGGCCAAGATTTTCACGCATGACATTGAAAAAACTTGCAGCAAAATTACTGTGAATTAAATGTCACTTTAAGAATGAAAACCACGTCCTATGTGGAAGGTGCATATGAAAACTATAAACCCTTGACAAACAATGTCTGTTTCATAAAATAAACCTGAGTAAAGAATCTACAAATCACATTTACAACAAAAAGTGTTTTCTGAAGCACCAGTCTTAGTTCTGAGATGCAAGGACACACTATACTAGCATAAGGATTCACATTTTTCCAGAAAATGCCTTGAAACGCCCACTGTAGAGTTGCAAAGACCTTCTCTATATATCTGCTTTGCTTGCATCATAAAACACATTTTAAAATCTTTCCATTTCCTGAGTAGCAGTCACTCAGTTTCCTAACTCATTTAATCTCTCGCAGCAAGAACTTCTTCAAGGAATTACAGAATGGGCTGAATGTGGCCCATTGTTGTTTCAGCATTTTTGTACTACCAAGCAAATTGTCGCACAGATTTTACAGTGGCTGTTAAAAAATGAGCTACTCAGCAGAAGCTCATGTAAGGGATATCATTTTAGCATTGCTATGTTTATTACCATTTTACTTAGTGCTTTTATTCAGTGACTGAGGCCATATGATACTAGACACTCTCCAGACACAAAGCTGCTTATCGTGTAAGAGAATCCATACTCTGAACAATTTAATAACAAATACATACAGATAACACTTCTGGGAATATAAATTTTAAATTAGCACAATTATAATAATTTCTTCTAGTTTATAGTATTTCAAATTAATGTCTTTTTTTATAGAGAGGCAAATCTTCTTGATGATTTTTACATTGTAATGAATCTTTGTTGTCCTTGCTTTACTGATTTTCAGTGAAGATCTGATGCAGTCTTTACTACAAGGCAGCTTCCAACCAGGAACATTCAGCACAGCGATAAGCACCTACATTTTGCACCATAATACTACAATGTCATGTTGCTAGTACTGTGGTTATAGCAAGAAAATAAGGCTGCTGTGGAATCTTAATTGGAAAAGAATTGAAAATAACTGTACTTGAATACTCAGCCTAGATGGTGAGTGTTTAGTTGCCATGGAGATTGGCAGAGACTTGCAATATAGATATCTAATTTTCAGAAAAATGCAGAAGGGTACTGGTGTACAGAAATACCTTCCCTGTAATTTGGAGCAGTTTCATAGACTGTCCATCATAAATAGGCATTTCAAAAAGTCAGGCCTGTGACTGATATGAGGCATAACGATTTAATCGAGTTTGTGGAAGATAAGGAATTGTCACATGCAGCGATGAACAGGAGAGCAATTCTGACACGGCAAAGGCACTGCCGACAGAGACTCCCACTCACCTGCAGGAAATGTCTTGTTGAGATTCAGCTCCCAACAGCACTCCAGTGGAAGCTATACTTTTGTAATGAAAACTTAAATCTCTTTTAGATATATTGTGAGTTTCTGTTTGCCTGGATATGTTTGACACTCAAGCCCAATAGAGGAACATAGATCTTTTTTGGGGGCAGAACCCCCATCATATAAGTCACAACGGCAGGCTTGATTCAGGTCCACTGTCCCAGGCAGGTGTCAACGGCAGCTGATCCAGCTGACAGCAGCAGAAAGCACGCTGAGGGATGCAAGTAGCTCAGAGGACAAGCTTTGATGCACAAGGAAAACTTTCTAGTACCACTGGGCAAGTCATTAGGCTTTTTCATCCAGAAACCCTGGCTGTGTCAAAGCCGGTACTCAAAGTAATGGGGCAAAACAAGACACCTCTCGGGATCAGTAGGAGTGCTGAAAGAGATCGGTTCATGTGTCTACTTTCTGAAGAGTAGCATGAAATATTCACCTGGCAAGGCATGCAAAAAGATGTGGGTTATGTTAGAAGCTGGGGTCAAGTAAGAGGGGTCTGAAGTATGGCTTTCCAGGTGAGGAGGTTGGATTCTGGGCTGTCAAGACATGGCACAGCCCACAGGCTCTGCTTTATTTCCAGCAGACCTCTGTACTTTTCACATAAGAAGAAACTATAGTTATGCTGTGTAGTGTTTCAATGCAAAGCACAACAGGGCACTTTATGTGATTTTCTAAGGAACAGCTGCTAAAGGTACCTTATGGCATGTACCTTACATCTTACACTCAGGTTTAAGAGTAAACACAAGTATGCAAGTGCAGTTTGACCAGCCTTATTTTACGGTACCTGGAAATGCTTCACAATTAGTAAGCAAAGCTTCAGGTGTGAAGAGTTTGCCATCCAATTTTGAGTTTAATGAAAGAGACCAAGTCTATGGAACTAACTCACCAAAAGGCCTCTAACCGGTTGGGTTCTCTCTAAGTAGGTAATAACAGACATTATTAGGAACAAAATGATTCAAACAAAATGGAGAAATAGACAATCTGATTCAATACTGGTTTGCTCTCGTTTACGCTGCTGGAAAACTGGACTGCCCTAGCTGTGAGCTGGGCCACCAGAGTAAATTACACCTTAAAAATACCATTGTGGTTTGTGCGTTGTGCCATAAAGGGCCGGACTGGCTTCTCCAGGTTTATCTTCTGGATTTCGATCTGAACAACTGCGAAGCCTCAGATGTCCAGATCTGTGGTTTCAGTCTGGGCTCTGTAAGCTGTGGTGTTGAGAGCTCTTCAGTCAGGTAGGAACACCCATCCCAGAGCTCTGAGACCACAGCTTAACTCTTACCAAGATTAGTGTTACCTAAACCTGTCCCTTGCCGAGTAGCCCTTCAGCTGCCAAAGCAAGACTGATTCCTGGCTCCCAGCACGGGCGCTGAACTGGGCCCATCGTTCCTCCCGTGAGCGCGGCAGCGTGCAGAGAGTCACCAGCGACGCGCGGTGAAAGAGATGCCAGTGCTGCC